AGCCCAGGGCCCCGTCAGCGGAGGGAGGCGCGGCGGGGCTCCCCCGGGCTGGCGCCTCACGTAAAGAAGGGCGGGAAGCGATATTGCCACGGCCACTCGAAACTCATCGCCATCGTAGTTGCCCCGGAAACCCGGAAGCTCTGCGCAGGGACTTCCGGTGTTCACCTCAGCGCGTCCGGGGCGGAAGCGCGGCGCAAAGGTTCCGCACCCCGGTGAGAGGCAGAGAGGCTGGACGGCGGGGTCTCCGGCCCTTGTCCTACAGGGCTTTGTCCCGCGGAGCAGAAAGAGGCCTGCGAAGGCTTCCGGTTCAACCCCAAAGAGGGTAATGAGCGGTTCAGTTAGAATACAAGTAGATCAGGCCTCCTCGTGGGCCTTCGTGGCCCACGACTAGGACCCCAGGATTTGGGAGGCTGAGGCAGGAGTATTGCAGTTTGAGGCCAGTCTGAGCTACCCCTGCCTGTCGGTTTCTAAAGCAGGATTATCCCCTGCTCCGTGAGTTTTGCGGAGAGAGGGCGCCTCACACATGTACTGAGCCCCGGTCTAACTCCTGGGCTCTCAAGGCATCCCAGTGACCCTTTGTATTTTTCATGGACTCCCAGTCGCCCCAGAGTAAGTATTCAAACCTCTCCGTTTCATCAAGGCGCTCCACCGGCCATGTCTCTCTGTGCTCCTCAGAATGCCTTTCACTCCGTCTCACAGGATTGAGGCCAGGCCTGCGAGCCCGGAAATCTGCCCCTCGGTTGCTGTTTGGTTCATCCCTCAAACATCCCTTTCCACTTTTACTCCTTCCTCTTTGTACTCGAAGAGGCGTCTCTCTTCCGTACAAGATCAGCCCTTTAGCATAGCCCCTTGCCCACCTTCCCACCTTCCTCCAGGACTTCTTTACCGTCTTGCCTCCCTCCCTTTGCCCTGGCTCTTCTCCCTTAGGTACAAACATGTTCAGGTCGCCCCTTTTAGAAACGGTGCAGCCCTCAACTCCGCCTCAGTTCCGTGCCTGTTCCCTGCCCTTCCCTCTTTCCGAGCCTCCTTCACTGTTCAGTCCTGGGCCACAGTGTGATCAGCAGATATTTGTTGGATGAGTGAGCTAAATCCCCGGCCCATAAGAAATCTACCAATGAAACCATGGTGAGAAATACAGTTCATTATCTTTTTTGTGGGGGGGAAACCGGGGATTGAACTGGGGAACTTGCACTTGAAAGGTAGGCAGTGGCACCACTGAACTAAGTCCCTGGCCCCCTTGTTTTTTTTTTAAACAGGCAAATTATTTTTTTATAAAGGCGAAAAGACACTTCAATGTAGAAAGGATAACCTGTCCAATAAACTGTGTAGATATCTATGAAATTAAAAAATATAGGATGACTGTTGAAATTTTTAAAATATTACAATGAAAGACACATTGCCATCAAGTTCCCCCAAAGTACTCATCCTCAAGCACACTCACCCCATCATCCTTGCCACCTTCCCCGGCAGTTCTGAAAGTCCCTGCCTCTATATTCAAATTGATTCAGAACATTACTTTCCGCGGTCATTTTGACTTTGGAAAAGAGCCAGAAGTCATACAGTGCCAGATTCAGGAAAGAGGCAAACAAGGACACACCGTAATGTTTTATGAGGCTGCCTTTCTTTGGGATGGCACCTGGGAGCTGCACTGACAGTACGGCGATCACACCTCAGAAAGACCCTGACAAAAGAGGACTTCCAGAACTGCTCCCCAAAGTGGCGAGATTGTGGAACAATGTGCCGACGTGCTGGGGGGGGCTCTCCCCTGGTTCTTTAAAGGTGAGTGCCTCCTGGGAGTCCGACCTCGGCCTTCTTCCTGCTGCACCTTCTGTCGTGGTGCTCTCAGGCCTCGCGTGGGCTCACGTCCCAGTTCGGTGCAGGCAGTTCCCAAGCCTCTACTTCAGAGCCCGCCTCTTTCCACCCCTGCAGCCCTCATTTCCGATTCTCTGTGGGAACAGGGCTTCCACTGTTAGCTCACGTTGCAGACCGTTCTCTTCAGGACAGACCCTCCTCCCTGTGGCCCTCTTGTTTCTGGTACCGGGGATCGAACTCGGGACCTCGTGCTTGAGAGGCAGTCAGCGGAACCACTGAGCTAAACCCCCGGCCCCTGTGGCCCTTTTCTGTCATCACCGCTGTGTTCTTTCTCGTAACGAAGATTTGAAGTCTGAGTCATGCACACTAACTTCATCCCCTTAAATCCAAGTCCTGCTGATTCTCTTTCCTGTCTTTAATCAAACACCGTGTGTGCAGTTCTTTTCACTTCACCGTCCCCAATTCACCCTCCCAAGCCGGGACCACTGCAATGATTTCCCATCTCATCACCCGCTCTACTCTTCCGTGTAGGGCATACCCGTGGCTCTCGCGTCTCTCATTGCGGGGCTTGTGTTTCCCAGGATGTGCCCACTTCCCGACTAGATGAATCCCAATGAGTGCAGAATCCAAACTGTCTTTCCAACACAGTATACACATAAGGTCTCACACCGGCAGGCCATTTTATTAGTAAAATGAGCAGATACGTTACGACTTGGAAAAGACAGATGTGCTCATGGGAAAAGAGCAAAGATTTATCTCCGCTGAAAATTCAATGTGTCCTTGGGGAGCTAGTGTCTCCAGAAAGACGATGTGTCTGGAGGAGGGCTGGACAGCAGGGAGAACCAGCCCTGATGGTCCAGGGAACACTGTATCGGAAGGGCAGCTGCGGGGAGGGGTGGGGAGCCCCCAGATGTGGAGTCCTGGCCTCGGATGGAAGGGTCCAGTTTCAAACTCATGGTCGCTATGGAGATGAGCCTGCTCTGACTCAGCCGCCGGGCCAAGCTTCGGCCGGTCATTTACATCTGGTTACTGGCCCTAGTGGACGCCAGGGGGCAGTGCGTGGCTGGGCGGCAGGCCACAGCGGTGCTGGACAATGTAGGATGAAGGCCAGGGACCTGGAGGGGGCGTGGCAGACGCCCTCCATCCTGAGGTCCTCTGGACAGAGTACTGCTGCGAGGCAGGTTTCCCCTCCTCAGGTCTGGAGTAAACCGAGACTGAGGGGGTTAGGCTGGGCTCCAGGTGCCCCCCTCACCCCGCAGGAGTCCAGCAGCAGCAGCAGCAGCAGCAGCAGCAGCCGCCGCCGCCCGCCCCTCCCCCAGCCGCCCCATCCAGGCCCCAGCCTGTTGGGACCGGAAGGGAGTCTCTTCCTGCAAGCTTCCCAGAGCCGGCGGGATGGGGACAGGAAAGGCGCTCCGGGGAGGAAGGGGCAGAAGGCCACAGCCTTGGTGTGGGTGGGATGAGGGGCAGGTGAAGCCAGAACCCACCTCCTGTGTGCCTGGCACCAACTCCCAGGAGGACACGGCTGCTCCACCAGGAAGGTGACAGTGGACAAACACACACAAAAAACTTTATTTTAGAGGTTACACAACTTGCGCCCGGGCCCCAGAACAGGCTGTGCAGTGACAGGGAGGCTGAGGGTGGGAGAGAGGAGGAGGCGGACCCGGGGGCGTCCACCCTAGGCCTTCGCCTCGCCGTCCTTACTCCTCCACACCACGAGAGTGACAAGGAAGGGGATGAGGCAGATCGGGGCCACGATCATGGCCAGCAGCACGTCCTCGGGGGGGTCGGAGAAGGTGGGCTGCACCCGGGAGCAGTTGGCGAAGTGCAGGTGGTGAGTCTCAAAGATGATCCTCTCGGCCAGCGGGTTGGGGAAGCCCAGGCTGAAGGCTTCCGCCTCTATCTCCAGGCAGTCGCGCAGGGAACTGTAAGGCCTGGTGGAGGGGCGGGGGACGGGTGAGTGCCAGGAGGGCCCCGCCGGCCCCGCCCCCCGTCCTACCTGCTGACCACCGTCCAGTTGCACCAGTCCTTTTCCAGAAAGCCCATGAACTCCTTATACGCGGCCCAGCAGAGCTGGGCGTTGGCCTCGTAGCTGTCCATCCTCTCGCCTGTGGGTACAGATGTTCAGACCCACACACCCCTGGGCCCATCTTCAACACGGGGCCTCCCCCAAAAGTGTCCCCGACAAGACACTTCTGGCTGAGGGGAGCCTGCCGGTGATGGCCCTGTGCACATCCTCACAGCTCCTCCACACACCCTTCTGG